TTATTTCCCAAAGCAATATATTTTTTTTTCCTTTCCAGATTCCAGGCAATAACATATTATACTATGGGGATTCATCTTACAACCAAGAACTCGTTTCTTTGTCTAAGCCCGTTCTTGAGAACCTGCTTAGTGCTATTCAACAAGAACCTTCCCAGGTATCGTCATTTTGGCTGGATTAATATTGTTTGACTAATTTAACCAATCATAATAATACGGATTTATTATGCTAAAATGAAGGCTGCTCGGGGAATTATCGCACTTGAAGCTTGCAATTGCATTGCATCATCTTTCATGGTAAGCTTCTATAATTGTTTGAACTTAGTTTTCATTATTTATCATTGACGTGGGAAAAATTTACAAAGTAAAAAAGAGGATTCATATTACAATTTATAAATTCTCGACAAATCTTACAAAACTATTCCGAATTTAGGAATACTACCCATATAAGGGAATTGCTATGGTACATCAAATTATGTGAATAAATAAATTTTAAAAAATAAATTCAAAATAACACAAATTTTAGATTAAAAATTTGTATAAGATGAATTAATCAAAAAGACTAATTCAAAAAAAAATAATCAAAAAGTCAATTTTCATAACAAATTTTGTTTATATATGACAAAATTAAAAAATAAAAAATAAAAAAATTATAATAATATTATAAAAACATAAAAAAAAAAAAAACAAATAATACAACTGAAATAATTTATACTATAAATTCAAAAAAATTATCATTAAAGAAAAACTAAAACATATTAACAAAATATTAATATTAAACTTTTTAATTACAATAGATGCTACATTAAGATATAAATTAAAAAATATAAAAATAATATAAAGATATAAAAAAAATTTATACAGATAAATTATTAAAAATATTAAATAAAAATAAAAATAAAACAAGTAAGTATAATAAAAAAAATAAAAATAAAATGACTGTTCCGGTACTCCCACAATTATAATGGGTACTGTAGAATTTCTCCCCATATAATTGGGTATTTAAATCAACAGGGGGTTAACCCACTATCTGGTTTGTAGTGTGTCTATATGTATATATATTGTCTTTGCCCAGGCAGGTTAACCGGTTTGTAGTGTGCGTGTCTATATGTATACATATGGAATATAGTCTTTGGAATCTTGGCCCAGGCATCCCGTTTCCACGCGAGATTAATCCCATTCAGGGTAATCGTTTAATATTTATTTAACTATAAACAGAAATTTATGTATACCATTGTTCAGTATACGTATACAGTATAGTTTACAGCATTTCATGGTAAAAGGAAGAAGCAAATGAAATGTCCTTGTTCCTGTGATAGAAACTGGTTCAGAATCTAAAATTTTTTTTATTGATGAACCCTACATCTCAATTGCTGTGCCATTGTGGTAGCAGACTTTGGCTAGGGTTAGAAGATACAAAATGAATGATTTTCCAGGATATTCTACACCAAGGCTCTCCCCACTCTAGGAGTGTTCATGGATTGAATTTTTGAAAAATTCAAACTGAACCAAATCAATCGAATTTATAAAATTTGATTTTTAAAAATGAGTCATTTTTTTTAAGCTAGATTGATGCGGTGCAGTTATCTGTTTTATATTCATATGAATTGATTTTTTAAGAAAACCGAACCCAACCTTTATTTATTGGTAATGTCTTTTAATTTTTCACTATCCCAGTCCGCCCACCCCAACTGACCTATTTTTAAAACTTTTAAAATTTATAGACCAAAATCAGTAATGGTGATAGGGACCATTCTCAAAGCTTCTAAAATTTATAAAATCAAAACCATCTTCTGTAGAAACTAAAACAAAAAAATTCACCATATTTGTATAGGATTGACAAACAGTTAAGCCTGCCTCTAATAACCCCCAACCCGCCTGATGGTTGAATGAAACAGAAAATTAAGTCCAAATGTGTTTACTTGTATGAAGACCCCTTTGGAGAAGCTTTCCTTGTTTGAACTATTCATTCTTAATATAATCCAGCTAGTATTATGTTAGGGACCAATCCTTGTTGAAAGTCATCATACTCTGTTGTAATCACAAATTCCACTAGAATTTGGATGTTTGGAACTTGCAGAGTTGTATCTGATTCTGAATCGTGTGCCTTGCACTGCAGATTCTACTTCCGCCTTCTAATAACGGTTTCTTTCTTGATTGTTAGCAGCTAAACAATGAATTGTCGTCTGTTTGCCTTACACTGGTCGAAACTGCCAAATCGTGTATGAGTGCACAAGACAAATACCTCCAGTCAACCATTCAACTTTTAAGCAAGCAATCGCCAACTTCTGTCGGGACCATGGTTTCTATTTCTGTATGATTTGTGTTCGTCTAGGTTGCTCGTTACATCTATTGTATCCTTATTTTCTTTTTATTTTTTTTTCTTTTTACTGTACTCTTTAGTTCAGAGGAGATGAAGGGAGGGAAGGAAAGGGAAAGAAAGGAGTTAAAATTTTTGTTTGATCAAAAGGAATAAAAGAAAGATTTTAATGAAATAGATGAGATTTTTCTGTACTCTTCGTTGTTTTTCTCTCTTTTGAACGAGGGGGCGTTTTCATTTCAAATGTATTAGTTTTAAATATTGAGAACGACCACAGAATGCGGCATAATGTTAAATTTTCTATTTTCTATGGTATACAATTTACCTTATCATATACTTTTTTAGTTATAACTACGATCGAGTTTCCAATTCTCCCTTAAGTACCATTATTTCAATAAAATATTCATTTACCGATTAACATCCTCGTTTGAAAGCGTAGAGTTCTTGTCATAATGAGGATCGCTATCACCATGTGTGAAACTTCTTTAATGTCCTGATATACTTTATACTTAATACTGGGATTTTGAGGTATAATATTTTGTTCGAAGTGTGGATCTTACATTTTTCTAAAAAATTTTTGGTTCTTCAGACGAATTTTTATTTAGACCATGTTTAGTTAAAGAAAATTCACAAACATTTAAAGAAGAAAATAAGAAAAAAAAAATGAAAAACAAACTTATTTTATAAATTAAAATTATTTTGTGTATATCTTAAAATAAGTTTTAAAGCTAATTTGAGAAAATTTCTATAAGTTCATTTTAGTTTAAGGGAGAATTTTATTTTATTTTTATTTTCTACTTTTATAAATATAAAGAATTTATCAAAAAAAAAACCTTATTCTTTTAAATGTTAGGATAATGCGCAACTGAGACTATATATATATATATATATATAGA